TCGAAACAGAAAACTACTCCCAAACACTTTGAACAAACACACACACACACACACACACAAACACACACACACACACACACACACACACACACACACACACACACACACATCACCTGCTTTTCTCTTCTTCTCCCCTCCTCACCCCTAAACCCCATTTTATGTTATCTCATCTCATGTGATTTTGGGATTGTTAGTTTGATTCTTTGAAATTATTTTTTTTTCTTTTATGTTCTTTGGGTGGAAGGGTGGTGGGGGTGGTGAGAGGCTGGTACAAAACGAAACAAACAACAGCAACAAAACAAAAAACAAAACTGTCCTGTCTGTTCGTCCCCCAGGAACAAATCCAGGAGATGCGTGAGTACTTCCGCGCGTTCAGGGACCAGAACACCACTCACCGTGACTACAGGCCCTACTTCCGGCCAGTGCTCTGCTACATCGAGGGTGGCTGGTCTACGGGGACGAAATCTTTGGACGAGCCATTCCAGAGTGACCGCCATGCCATCGACGCCAGCAACTGGTTTGACCTCATGGAAAAGGTCAGTGGGTTTGTTTGTTGTTGGGGTTTTTTTTTCTTTTGGGGTTGTTTTTTTTTGGGGGGGGCGGTTGTTTTTGTTTTTGTTTTTGATTTTGTTTCGCTTAATTGTTTGGTTTTTGTTTGTTTGTTTTGTATATTTTTTATCCTGACATGCGTCTTCATAATTTGGTTTTACGAGTTTCATTTTTCAAAAATTGTGTCAACATGTTCGTAATTTGTAATGCTTCAAAGAAAAACAAATTAAAACGAGAAACAGGACAGTTGTTTGGGAACAAACAATGATGATGATGATGAGGAGGAGGAGAAGGAGGAGGAGGAGGATGATGACGCTGATTAGATTGTTTGTATATTAGGTTTTACACCCCCTCTCCCTCACCCTTCTTCAATGAACATACATAAAATAAATGTTGTTCATGAGATGAGTTAATCTGTCTCTACCAATACGTGTGAATCCAAAATGGGTGAGATACAGTATCCCAATAGATGGGCAAGCATAGATACTAGGTACTAGACGGAATACATTCTTCTTCTTCGGAATCGAACTTCCGCCCTCTGTGTGCGAGGCAAAGATTAAGAACAATTGCACAACACATTCCGGGTGACCAAAGTAATTATACATAAGTCGCAATATCTCTGGTTTAACATTTACAATATTAAAGTGCCATATAAAAACTCACTAAGCGATTTTTAATTAAAAGGATATTTTTAAAACTATGAATAATAATAATGAAGATCTATAAAATACATTGAATGAAAACTGATAACATAGCTAAGGTACGGCAAAGATCTAGCTAAGATCTCAATTGTGAACCAACATGACCTGCTGCTTGCATACAGGATCTCCACTCTCTGTGAGACCTAATTAGCCGTGGCGTCACGAGCAAAGAAGAATTTTATTTATTTCTTAAAGGGGGGGGGGCTCAACTAGACCATTATCCATTTACTTGTATCTTTTTTTATCTGCGACTGATAGGAGGGCGCCACTTGTAGATCCTTATACTTCTGTACTATCCCTTTGTTGTTTCTATCTGTCTGTCTGTCTTACTTTTTTCCCAGCACTAAATGACCATTATGGTGTCGATGTGCTTTACTTCAAGCAAACTCAAACAATTTGTCGATTAATTTGTTCTCACTCAAACACTATTTCGAAAGATAAACGAGCGTGCGTGTGGTAGGCGGGTGCTCTGGTATCGTTTGCTTCTTCTTTCCTACCTAACATCTATCGTCCTTATCTCCCCTCCTCTTTTGTGTTTGCTACGCTCTTGTAACACTTCTAATCCTCGGCATTTATATGACCTTATTGCGTTGCAGATGCCATAAAATTCTTACTAAAACTAAACTAATAAAAGAGAAACGTAATTTATGTGATTTGTTATGGGTTGGTTCTTTTTTTTTTTTTTTGTTGCCACGCCCAGATCCGATACACATCCTACACAGGCTCTAAATCTGTTTTGGAAAACTACGCCTTCCTGCCCACCACTATCAACAGTGTGGAAAATGGACACCCTCACTACGCCCAGTGGAACTACAGGATCCTCTGCCATCCTTTGAAGTACGTATGAGTGTGTGTGTGTGTGTGTGTGTGTGTGTGTGTGTGTGTAGCTGTGTTTATGTGTGTGTGAGTGTGCCTGTGTCTGTGTGTGAGTGTGTGTGTACGTATGTGTGTGTTTCTGTGTGTGTATGTGTGTTTGTCAGTGTGTCGGTGTCTGTGTG